CCCCACCCATTTCATTCGGTGTCCAGCTGAGACAACACATAAAAACTAAAATAAACAAAAACGCTGGAGGTAAGACGCCGTTTAAGGAGTTGGCATGCAATCAAAGCTCACGATCTGGGGACTCTGAAATATTTACCAAAAATAGTTGGCACTACGCCATGTAAAAGGAATGGAGCTTCAACTCTTTCAAGTTCAAACTTAATGATTTAACACTAAGGAATATCAATAAATGCATTCGTTTAAAGTTGATTTGTTTACAAGAACGAAGCTACAAATCTTTCAAGTTCAAATTCAATAAATAACTTTATTTATAATATTATTTATTGATATTACATTTTTTTAGAGAAGCTACAATTCATACAAATTTGATGTAAAGGAATACCATAAAATGTATTTCTGTATATTCGATTGGTTTAAACCTTTCTTGATTTTGCATAAACATTAATATAACAGGAAGGCAACAACAGTTGTAGCATATTTTTATTCATGTACTTTTATGGCATGTAATGAAGGGAAATATTTGTAAAAGACCAACCTCCTTGGATTGCTCCCCAAAATCCCCCAAAGAGTTTCCTGTTCCCGAGCGGCGAGCAAAAAAGAAAATCCACAGCAACAACAACAACACAAAAAAAAAAAAAAAGAGAAACAACAACAACACACGGTTATAAGTGTGGCCAAATTAATGGACTTCGAATGAAGTTGACCGGCTGTCATAAAGCGTTCATAATTACTTTTCACACCAGGCGGCGGCGATTCGAACGCGTGACTAACGAGTGAGAAGAGGAAGAAATCTGAGGGCAAAGGGGGAGCCAAAAAAAGAGGGATGGGGGGGGGAAATCTATGCCCCAACAAGCCCCACAAACAGTCGGCAAAGAACAGAAAAAACAAAATATACGCACAAGGAAAATATTACAAATAAACAATCGTAAATTTCTATAAATTCTAATTGAAGGAGTTGGGGCGTCTGTTTGTAGGCTTAAAGCGTATTGCGCACGACATTTGTTTATTTATGGCGAATGACAATAAAATTTAATAACTTTGACACAATTTAATTAATTTCGATTTTTCAATATGACAAAAATAAAAAAAAGGAATCGACATAAAAAAGCACCAAGCGCGCCGAGGCAAACAAACAAAATGTCGAAAGCCAAACAAAAATCAACACAACATAAAAATTTTTTATATACGTTTCTCTGCGCAAAAGGGGCGGGGCATCGGTCGAGTCATAAGCAAACATATTTATGGAATATATATATATTTTTTCCCTCCCTGCTTCGATGCCATATGCATATGCAGTGAAAAATTGAATTAAAATTCAACGAAGGCAATTTACAAAATTAGTTTTGATAAAAAAAAAATGTGAATAAAAAAGGATGCTAGAGTTTTTCATTAACCAACACTGTGTATCGAATGGACATTCCATCGGAATTCAAATCAAATCGACTAAACTAAGAGCTTTGAGAAATCCAAATCAAAAACGAAATTGATTTGTCGTGTTAAAGTTGCATGTCAATTGCATTTTTGCCCAATACCTGAGGCTTAATAGAAAACAAATAAAAGAAATAGAGTTATTGGCTTGACCAGCTAAAATAACAAAAAAAGATGACGTTACAATTCAAACGTTTGATTATTTCAACCTAAAGGGCCACAAAAATGGTTTAAGGGCTAAATATGGTTTGTTATTTATCTGGTTTTCATTTATTAACCTTTGATATTAATTGTTTTTCATTAATTAAATTTTCCACAAGCACAAATACACGCATTTTATATGGAGCTTATTTCATAAGCAAAAAACCCTCGAAAATAAATCCAAATGCCCCATCCAAAGTTAACAAAATGTGTAACGTTCCGCTCGTAACATCTTTGTTTCACCTGAATTGACTGAGTTATTATGGCCTTTACGCGTATATATGGATGCAAATGTGTGCGCAATCCGCCCACCCAAAAAACCGCAATTGAAATGCAAAATATTGTTCACATATAAAAATTTGAAGTAAAAAAAACGTTAAAATACAATGATTAAAAAATGAAAAGGCACAAGGCAAAAAATTAATTTTGAATGCTGTCTGAAATCCGCCTATCTCTTTTTCTCTTCGATATTTTTAAATTGTGACAACATAAAATAATTGTTAAAGTCCACAAAATAATAATAAACAAGCAGGAGAGCACAGAGCAAAAAGCAGAAAGCAATTTGCAATGCACCAAAAACCAAAAACCGAATGCACCAACTCCATGGGGAAAGTGCCAGAAAGTGTTTTTGTGTGTGTGAAAGAGAGTGTGTGCCTCCTGAGTGTGCGAAAGTGTGTGTGTGTGTGTGTGCGTGTGAGAGGTAAATTTATTGATTTCCATATATTTATTTGTGTAAAATGCCATAAATTACAATTATTTAACAGGGCCGGACGGATGAGCCAGTCGGACGGGCCGTAAAGTCAACGCGCCAGCAACGGACACACACGTCCCCCTTCCTTTCCCCTTCGATTCCCCCATGCGCCACCATTGCACCCCCCCTTTTCTCACCGTGTAGTTGGGTCAGTAGTGCCGCTGTGTTATTGTTGCCTTTGCCTCGGCTGTTGCATAATTTGTTAGCCAAATTGCAACTCAACAGGCCAGGTATGCAGTTCGTACTACGGATGGCTCCCTGATATCGAAAGACCCCAAGACCCGGACAAACAAACACACACTCATATAGACACATCGACACACACACACAGTGAGAAGGCGATATACACAGCAGGCAACCGAGTCCGGCTCATCAAATATGCAAAATTTGCAAGGACTTGCAACAATCGCAATTAAGGATGAGCTGCCGGCGAGGCGACTACAAGGCGAATCGCAGATAATGAAAACGGTGACTCAAAGCGAGTGCTACTTATCGCCCAATTGATTGCAATCGATGCCAAAGGTGGGAAAGTGATGCCATTGTAACTATAACACTGTGCGACAAAAAAATGTTTGAGTTGATTTTTTCTTATTTTTCACTTCTACTAGTCAAAATAAGAATACAAGTTTTTGGATTTGTTAATATCAATAGCCAATCAGCTTCTACGCACACTCAAAGGTCCCAAAAACGCGTGTTTTTGCATATTTCACAGCCTTATAATACCATATTGGGAAAATATTTTTTCACCGTTATAAGCGTTTTATGCAAGTTCAATATCTATTAATTAAAATATATTAAGCAAATATACCGTTAGGCTTTTATAACAATGCTTTAAAATTTTTTTCTCCCAGCTCTATACTCTGGGCGACTACGTATGGAACTTGTTACGCGAAAAAGCCAAAAAAATCAGAAAAAAATTTCACTTTTAAAAAAAATAATAGTTTATTGGAAGTAAAAAAAAAAAATAATATTTTGTGTTAAATATTTTCATAATAATAATTTCATAAAATTTATCATAAAAAAAGAAATCCTATCACTTAGAAGGTGGCATAAATATTTTTGTGCATAACTTATGCCCCTTAACCGAAAACAATTAAAAAAGTAACTCAAACAAACATTTCGTTAAATTTTGTCGCACAGTGTAATCAAATAAAAGTATTCGTAATATTCCCCAGATCAGAGAAAGTATGATTGCAGTGATCAAACAGTGACTGAAACAGAATCAGAACCTTTATCAATTCAATTTTCAGCAAGATAATTAAAATATGATTATTACCATTTAATACACATTAAGAATAACATTATAAACAGTTAGAAAATCGAATTTAAGATAAGTCCAATACTAATTTTTGTTACCATTTATCCAAGTCACAAATCACAATATGTCATTCATCTTGTTTTTGTCTGCGTGGAATACCAAGCATTTCGCAATCACTGAATTAACACGGAATTCACTCAGACATCTCGAATCGGCTGAGGAGACATAAAGCGTTTGGTTTGGCCGTCTCCGTCCCCCTTTTTCCCTCCATTTTCCCCATCCTTTTCCCGGGCTTTTCCCGCTGCACACCGAATTCCCAACTCTGCTCCGCCTTTGGATGAAAAGCCCTCCATTTGGTCCTCATTCAGTTAGCTTGTCCTGATCAATCGCTTGGTCATTTGTTGGCTTTCACTGTGCGAGTGTGTGTGTCGTGTATCGCTGCGTACGTGTGTGTGGGTGTGTGTGTGTGTACTTTCTCCTTGTGTGTTTGGACTATTATGTCCGGAGCTTATTAACTGCGGGTCTCGCAAATGCAATGCAAATAAGCAAATTTGCAATCAAAAGAACGATTTTCATATTTAAGATGGCACAAGAAGAGGGTCGAAAATTCTTGGGGGAAATTCAGTTGGGGTTTAATGGGGGGAGTATTGAGGGTTATTCACCCAGCAAAAGCAGCAAAAGGAGGCCGGTTATAAAATGGGGCGTGGCTGGAGAACAGAGGCATGCACTTAATTTGGCAATTGTCTCTGCACAAGAGTACACACACACACACACAAGATACGAGTGAGTGTATTGCCTGCATGTATTTGTATTTGTATTTCTGTGTCCACGTTTATCTACAGTTCCTCCCACAACAAACACCACCCCCTTTGCACCCACACAACCACTGTCTATCTGTATGTGTGTCTGCCTGCCTTTGTCATTAATATTAATTTCGTGTTTAATTTATTGTAATTTACGTGCATTTGATAAATCGTGTTATTATAATCAGTTGACTGGAAACGTGAAGAAAGGAGAAGCCATGGAGTACACTGAATGACTCACTGTTTAAGCCAAAGTTTAGTTGTTTTTTTTTTAATCGAATAGAAGCATACTTTAAAATAAAAAATTAAATTGTTTCATAACATAAAACATGATTTTTAAACATATTTCTCTTTGAATACAAACTATTTTTATAAATCTAAATAGATTTTAATTTTGATGATTATAAAAGATATATAATTTTTAAGACAAAATTAATTCATTAAAAAAACTATTTATTGTTAATTTCGGTGTAGGAAACTGAGAAGAGGACAGGAGATAATCTTAGTTTACCTTAATGCCAATGACAGCTGTCTAGTTTCTAATCTTGGTCGGACTTACCTTATACGATTTTCACTTGCACAAGCTCCTTGAACAAATCAAATTCCTCGAAATGTGGTAGATTTTAAAACTGCAAAGAGACAAGAAGAAGAAATTGGGTTAATTCCAGTAATTATGCATAGCAATCGATATGGGGTGTAGGAGTCAGCACAACAACTAGGGCCTATTAAAAATCGGTTATGAAAACATTTGGAGTGAGTTCCTATTGATTTTGAAAAAGTTATAAATAAGCAGCGGAAGATTTATTGCCAAACCGTTGGAAATGTTGTGGTAATTTTAAAGATTTATGTTATAAAAAACAATACAAACTAGATGAAATGATATATAGAGCTTGTAATAAATATTGCAGAGGACAATAATTGTACTGTTTATTTGCTTTCTTTTGGGTATCTAGTAATTATAATTTCATATTGTTATGAATGTTTTGTAAGAATGTATTACATTCAATGCCTAAAATAAACTTTAAAAATCCTTAACCATCGCCATGCAATTCAACCAGTCGATACCAACCAAGTAATATTTATGAGAATCGCATAGAAGGGAGCAGAAAGCACTTGAGTGCGATTCCGATCTGAAAGGGTGGAAATGTCGGGGTAATAAACATTTTCCCTCTCGTGTGCAAGGAATGCTTGAGGACAAGTGTCGCATTAAGGAACTTCCCCCATTTTTTTTTTACATTGTGGAATGCGTTTTTATAACAAAATAATTATATTTATGCCGTGGGGGAAAAGAGAGGGGGAGTTGGGAAGGGAGGGGGGAAATGTGCATTGGCCATTGCACAGGACGCATTCAAGTCGAAGTAATGCAAAAGGGCGAATGGCAGAACCGATTCCGATGCCCGATCCCCGAAACCCCCACCACGCCCCCTTTGGAAATCCGCCCCCAATCGCGATTCCTCCATTTCTGCACATAACGGCATCCATTACACGCAACAACAAAGCCAAAATGGCGTCTGGGGCGACAATGTGTTGCATGCGTGTGTCTGTGTTGTGTGTGCGTGTGTGTGCGTCGCTTTGTGTCTGTATTGTCGTTGAAATTATTTTTATTATTTTACACAATTTTTATACGGAAAGCCAAATGCTCGATACACACACACACACACACACACACACAAACAAACACACATATACATAGAAAGAATGAAAGCAAGGCGAAAAAAATGAACTTTTACAGCCGGGCATAAATATTTAGTGTATTGTTCTTGTTGCTGCATGTTTATATTGTTGTATTTAATGAGATTTTTGAACTTTTCCTTGCCATAAGCGCCTTAAGCGTTTACTCTCGCCCTGTGAAAACACTTTACAGAAGCCACAAAATGGAAAGCAAAACAAGGAGCATTCAAGAAGTTTTTCTTTTTGATGTCCTCGACCGACGGGGGAGTGTGAAAAACAAATCTGTGAGTTGGTTGATTCGAATGGTAAATTTCCTGCAAGTGTAGGATATTAAAATGCTTATTTCAAAAGCAATAAATATTTGTAGTTTAAATGTGAGTTAATGGTATGAGTGCGGAACAGTTTATTCCCAGATAAAACTAAACTTTTTATTCATTTTTAGACCTTCTTCATTCCACTTCATATAATATATCTTAATCTCCATCGTTTCACCTTCTTATATCTTAATTCCCACTGAGATATGCCACTATCTCAACATCTAAATGACTTCAAATTGCATTATTACCATCCATAAATTCGAAATCGAATTCCCATAATCATGAAATCAATTTATTGTCATCACATTTAAGCCCATTAGTTGGGGGCTCGATAAGATCTCCGATCCTAATCTCGAATGCATTTGTCATTCCCCAAAATCGAATCAGAGCAGATCGTTTCGACCGGTTTTCGGCTTTTGGTTTTCAGTTTTTGGTTTGTCGATGGGATCTCCGGTTTTGTCATCTTGTGTGGGTTGTGCAACCCACAAGACGACGGACCGCATAAAATAATAATAATAAAGGAAAACCGGTGGCAGGGCATCCAACTCCAACGCATTCATTAGTTCTCATTAGGAGACAAAACATTTCGAATCCAAGCTCGCATCTGAACGATAAACAAAGCATTTTTCAATCGAACAAGAGACGAGGTGCGGGGGGCTTTAACTTTACCGGTTTATTGGCGTCTCTAATGAACCTCGATTAATAAATATAAAAAGGAAAACTCTAATTTCTTAAATAAAGTCTCGGCTTATGACATTGCTATACGAAATATTAAAGCCGAAAGTTGGGTGGTCGTTAGAAATCGAGTGATAAATATACATTCGAGTGGGTTGTTATCGTTATAAAGTCTTTTTAGGTAATTTAATAATTTCTCATTAACGAGGGAAGAACATGAAAACTTGGCCAACAGAAAATCTGCATTTGCACATTATTAACTTACGTGAAATGGACGTAAAACCCACCCTGATATCGATTTAAATTAGCTTGCTAGTATTCGGCTTAAAAGGGAGTACAAAATGCACCCTCGAGCTTGGTCACAAAGTCAACCCAGTCAATTAAAGACCTAGAAATGCATAATTTTCCATTTAGCCCATTTATGAATTATGCAGTCGAGGCGAAGAAAACTGGTTAACGTGGAAACACGCCAACGGGGAAGGGATGTGGATGTGGATGTGGAAATGACATAAGCGTTTAAATATTTCAAAGGAGCGACTCGGCTGGCGTGGGGGAAAAAGCTTTATAAAAACAAAATGAAGCCAAATATAAGACAAATGCAGGTCCGGGGAGACAAAAGGGGGAAGTTATATAGGGGGCACAAAGCAAACATGTGACATATGCGGCAATTAATGCCGTTAATTATTAAAGTTAACACCCAAAAGCGACATGCACAAGTCAAATAAATAAACACGCAGCAGGGAACGAAGTCAATGGCTCTTGGCCAAAGCGAAAGCCCTCATCTATATACAATACCACGAATATATATATACGAATATATATATACGGTACAAGGGAACCCCCTCAAAAACCCATAAAATGCCAGCCCCCTGCACAAACGCCCCAACAATTAAGGACAATGCGTACTAATTTCAAACGAAAACTTCAACGTGGCCAACTGAAAGCGAAGCGGAAAAGGAAACATGAAAAAAAAACACACCAAGAAATTTAATCAAAAACAATGCAATTAACACCGAACTCTCAATATCCTGACATTGAGTTTCGGTTAATGAGTTTTAAAGGACAAGATAATAATTACAATCTGAAAACACATCGTAATTTTTGTTTTATGATTATTAGATAGTAATATATTTTTCAACGTTCATCATTGATTTAATTCTTGTGTATTATTTATATTTTATATTTTATATATTTTTTGTGATAAATGAAAATACTAATTAAAAATTACACTTATTTCCGTTCCCCAGCAGACTGAGGCGTAACCTTTCCCCCAAAAATTCGTGGGTGTCGTCGAGTAATAATGATTTTTATTTATAAACTGGCACAAAGGAGCGAAACATGGGTTAAGGGGACTGAGGGGGCTGGGGGCTTAACCCATGCGTGCCGCGAGATGAAGAAGAAGCTCGTTGGGGAAGGACAGTTGGCACATAAATAATTTAAACACCAGGCCCTCGATTCGCCGTCCCGCTGACATAATTTTTCCCTCTTTTGACCAAAAAAAAAAAAAACCAAAATATGTAGAAGTAAAAAAAGGGGGAAGGGGAGGACTCCACAATTAGGGGCTGGTTTTTGGGGGATTGGAGGTGGATTTTCAGTGGATAAAGAAGGACATTTTGGGGGCGACCGGTTGACAAGGGCAGTGCAATGCATAAGCAAACAAAACTTTGGCAATTTTGTGCAACTTTTTGGCTTCCACATTTTGTATAGAAAGCATTTTTTCGTTCCCTTTGTGTTTGCCTGTGTGTGTGAGTCGAGGAAATTATGTTTTTGAAAACAGGAAAACCTTGGCAAGTTTTCGGGGGCATCGGGGAAAGGAAGCGGTAATTCCATTCTGGAATAGCTTTGCTTAGGTCAAATCAATTTGAACTTTTTTAGAAGCTACAAAATCGACTCAACGGAGTTAACAAGTCGCCACAAACAGTATGCAATAAACTCAAACTCTATTTTACGTTGTTCTTGGGATTTATAAAACGCTTTAAATATTTAGTAGACATTAGGCTTAATATTATTTTATATGCAGTTGGTTTCATATTTTATAAGTTTGTGTTATTGCTAATAGCGAAATTTAAACGAATTGATATTAATTTCTTTTCCCAATTCCCAGCAGTCATTTTCTCTAAATCCACACGAGTTTTTACCACCCACTGGGGTCTCTCAATTAATAGAACGTTTTTCTTTCGTTTTTTCTTTTTTTTTTTTTGCACCGCTTCACGTTATTTTTTTGGGGAAACGCTTGCCACTTAACGGGCGCATAAAATGCCAATAAAGATCGCGTTTTTTTTTTTTTTTTTTTTTTTGAGGGGAAATGGGTGAAAATGTGGGGACAATGACGATGAGCATATGATTTTCAATTTTTGCCACAAATCCAGACAAACACACGCAAACCAAACTTTGGGCTTCGCCTGGTTGTCGACCGAAGTGCCAATGGGATACACGGAAAAAAGTTGAATTTCATAAGCCAAAAGTTAAAAGTCAAAAAACAAAAATAAAATCAATTTAGATTTAGATCATGAAAATTTAAGATGATCATATGTTAAAAAACATTTTCCAATTTATCCCCATTAGCTAAATTTTTTTGCTCAGTGCAGCTCAAACTTCGTGGCAAACTCCTCCGACTGCCCCCCACTTACTGCCACGCCCCCTGCTGCCCCCTCTGTGAACCGTTAAGCGCCATTAGGCGGCTGTGCAGACATTAAAAACAGCTGCCATCGTCTCCTGTTTTCCGTTCCCGTTCTTGTTTTTGTTGCTGTTGTTGTTGTTGCTATTTGCTGTTGAGGCAGTTTTTTGAGGGGGGGTCAAAAGGGGCAGGGGACAGGGGGTAGAAGTGGGAGGGGAGGGCTAGCGACGGGGAGCGGCACAAAAATTGCCTGTTTATATTCGCAGCGACAGCAAATTTTATTATTATTTTTGTTCTTGACAACGACAACGGGCAACAGAGGAGCAGCAGGCACAACAACATAGTCAGC